ATCTTAGATGGCCGCTCACAGGCTTTTAAGACCCCAGACACTACTCACCAAGGTAGAATGTAGAGCATTGTCTTTATAAGCTGTGTCATGCCAATTGAGCCAGATGTTCCCTGAGACCATGGTCCCCACAGCCCTCCGCCCAGCAATTCAGTCCCTCAGGGAGTTTGAACGTGTCTATGGGGCTTCCATGACATTTCCTTGTACAGGTTGTGCTAGTTTCCCCTGTATTGTGTACTATCTCACCCTTCACCCAAGATACCACTTATCTATTGCCTATGAGAAAAAAAAAAATTTTTGATAGAAAAAAACTGATATAATTTTTACCTGGAGAGCAATCTGGGAATAGACATTAAAAGCTTTTAAAATGTGCATTTCCTTCGACCTAGTAATTTCACTTTTAGGAATTTATCTGATAGAAATAATAAAAAATGTGTGCAAAGATTTCTGTACAAGGATGTTCATCACAGAGTTTTTATGATCTTGAAACACTGGAAACAGCTTAATCATAAGATACTAGTTTAAAAGTATAGTCTTTCTGCAGTAATTAAAAATTACATTTTAAACACAAATATTATATTGTGATGAGATCAAGACTGAAGTAGAGAATAAAGAGAAGTAGGTATTCAGCTGTATAAGTCTCTAGTTAAATGGATGTACATGGTAGCTAGTTTCTCATTAAATGAAAAATAATAATTAAAAATTTCAAAGTTTGAGGTATTTTTAATAACGATGTTTGGTATTAATATTAATTCAGTTATATTTGTTATAAAGCTTTTATACCTCTACTATGAAGACTAGAATGTGTTTTTAAAAAAATCTATTGAAGATTCATATTTTTGTAGTTCTTAAAGAGTGCATTCATAGAGAATAAAAAATCAGTGTATTGAAAGCCATTAGTAATTAATTTTAACTTCCTGCTTATAAAAATAAATATAAATCAATTCAGAACATTACATTAGTAACATACACAAAAACATTAATCTTTCAGATAGTAAACACTCCTCAGACACAAGTGTCTAATATCAAATCAGATTTGTAAAATACAGATCTTCATTTTAGACTATTGGCTTTTTATAAAAAAATACTTACTGTTCTGTTCTTCACCAAGAGCAACCAATGTTTCAAGAACTTTGATTCCTTCCTGAACAGCTACAAGTTCAGTGTCACTGGTTGGTTTGTTTCTTTCAACAGCTTTTAGCTTTTCAACCACTATTGGAGCTAATGAGTGGATATAGGGAGTTGAAAGGGCACGATTGGAATGCTGGAAGACTGAGAGGAGAAGCTGGTAACATTTAGCTTGAACCTATATAAGAAAACCATTTTATTAATTAACATGTGCGATAGTTCTTATTTGCTCTACATCACAATGCATCTTAATATATATGGAAAACAAGTGATACTGCAGGATGAAAATAGAAATGTGGGATGCATTAATGCCATTTGCTACTTAGAGAAATGGAGTAGCATAATTAAACTTTCAATAAGCTAATTAAATAATATTAACTGAAGAGAAATTAATCAAATATAACTCAGTTACCAAATTACCATACCTACATAATTTTTATATTTCTCTAGTGTGGAAGAAATTAGAAACCAAGAATTCTAATTTCTGTTACTTAATTCTTCTTTTAATTTACAAATGTCCTCACTTTAAGGAAGTTAATATCTGAATAATCTCAAAGAAAGGTGTAACAATACACTGCTTAAACACCTCAAACCAGTCTGGATTCCCTGGAAATGATTGCTTACACCACTTTAAGCATTTCAGGCCTGGAAAGTAAAGTCTCACTGGCTCCACTTTAGAAAGATTTCGTATTAATAACAACAACAACAACAAAGGAAAGAAGGCCGATCAACATATGGGACAAATAGTAGAATAAAAATGTTTCGGTGCTTTGGTAGAACAGAAGTGGTCAAACCTAGCTAGACATCAGAAATATCTGGGAATGCTTTAAAAATACAGATCCCTAGACCACAAATTTGGAGATTCTGATTCAGGAAGATAGTGGTAGAGTCTAGGATTCTGTGTTTCTGAACTGCTTCTTTTTCTGATGTGCAACCAAGTTTGAGATCATTAGACTTTGACACAGTAAGACAATAAAACTTATTTTCTAGAAAAACTAGAGTTTCCAATAGGTTCATTAAGACATGTCAAATATTTTAGATATTGGAAAATTTCTGCATATGTATATAAAAATACATAGACGCCTTTCTTCTCTCAACAAAGAGGCTGCCAAATTAACAAAATCAGAATAAATGATCTTTAAGCTAAGTATATTGAATATAGATATTAAAAATGAAGTGATAAAATTATTCATGGAGAAAGACAATTTTGAAATCCTTTTTTTTTTTTTAAAAAAAAGGGTAACATTTTTGTTGTTGTTGAAGTTGTACTTTCTTAGGAAAATGGAGGTCATTAATACATTATTAAGGAGCCCTGGTGGTGCAGTGGTTAAGAGTTTAGCTGCTAGCCAAAAGGTCGGCAGTTCAAATCCACCAGTCACTACTTGGAAACCCTACGGGGCAGTTCTACTCTGTCCTATAGGGTCGATATGAGTTGGAATCGACTTGACGGCAACTGGGTTTTTTTTTTTTTTTTTTTAAATATATTATGGCTAGAAATAATTTTTGTCATGTTTCATTATTTTTATTACTAGTATTAAAATGTCTGTCAATTAGTTGCTATTATGGGTAAAATACCAAATAAACTTTATTAAAAACAAATTAGGCTACAAAATTTCTCATGGACTTTACATTTCCACAAAAAACGTGTTTACAATTTTAAACAAAAGTTGTCACTATTTTAAGTTTTACAACTCAGAAAATGATTAATTGACATGTAAGTAATTTTTCATACAAATTATTCTGTAAAAATACCATCTGCCAGGGTTGACACGTCGTGGGGTTGTTAATCAATGTCATAAAACAATATGTGTACTACTGTTTAATGAGAAACTATTTGGTCTGTAAACCTTCACCTAAAGGACAATAAAAAAAAAAATCCCATCTCCCATCGATTAATCTTAGGAAAAATAAAACTTCAGTATTTATAAACTGCTACTGGATTTATTACTTTTCTCTATTATAACACTTACAATAAACTTGAAAAATACAGCAAAGTAAAGAATTCTTAAAAATCATTCACTGTCCCAACATCTAAAGATCACAATACAGGTAAATACTTTACTTACATACCTTTCAGGATGTTTTCCTCTACCAATAGCCTAAAAAACTCTTGCCCTCACCTCCTTCTCTCTTTTTATCTCTTCTGCCAGGCAAAAGCTCAACTCCAGAAAAATCTAAATATCTGTCTTTTTTATGCCTGTACTAGGGCTACTGAGAGCTGACAGAAATGTCACATAAATGGGCAGTTCAGCATCACTATAAATTCATGGTCATCCATCTTAACGGGTCGTTTAAACTGCCTCTCAGAAATTCTGTTATTTATTATCCTCCTTGATTTTGGCATTATCAACCTGTTTTTTTTTTTTTTTTCAATCTACAGAAATGCTCCTTCCTATTAGCTTCTAAATATGTTCAAATTTCACTTATATCAAGAACAAACAAAACAAAATAAAAAACTCCCCCTCAATACCATATCCTCTTCCAAATCCCCATTCCCCTCTTCATAGTCAAATTTCTCAAAAGATTGTCTCTCAAATTCCACACCACTCTTCTATTCACTACACTCTGGGTTCCACTTTTACCATTCCAATGAATCTTTTCTTAGAATACCAATGACCTCCATGTTGCTAAGTTCCAAAGTATGATTTTTAGTCTGATGTTACCCAAGCTTTTAACAATTAGACACAGTTAGCCACTCTCTATACTTAAAACAATCATTTCCCTTGACTGCTGGACCACCACGCTCCCTTGTTTTTTCCCCTTGCCCTTCTGGTCTTTCCTTCTCAGTTCCTTTTTCAGGCCAAAAAATACTGTAGTTGCTCAGAGCTACCTTCTTACTCTACACACTTTCCTCAGTCAATCTCATCCATTCTCATAGTTTCAATAACATACCTATAAACCACTGGCTTTCAAATTTATACATCAGGCCATACTTCTCTTCTGAGCTTAGATCTCCAGATCCAACTGCCTAATACACGAATCCACCTAAATAACTTAAGAGGCATCTTAGGCTTAATATGTCCTAAATGAACTCATTTCCTCATCCTCAAATCTGCTCCTCTTCAACTGTTCCTTATTTCAATAAATACCACTACTATTTGTCTACTTCCTAAAGTCAGATATCTAGATGTCATTTTTGACATTTCCTTCACTCTTACAAACCCATCCAATTTTATCTAATCAATCATGAGGTCCTAATTTATTCGACTACCTAAATATCTTTGGAATACATCCATGTTTCTTCCCCATTGCTACTACTCAACATCAACAATAAACAGCTTCCTAACTGGCCTCTTGGCATTCATCCTCGACTCCTTCCAATCTTTTTCCACCATGCAGAGGTGATCATTTAAAAAAGCAAATTTGCTATCAGTCCCCTGCCTATTGTTATCAGTCACCTATTGCCCTTAAAAACCCCAAAACAAACAAACAAAAAATAAAACAAAACAAACCTGCTGCCATCGAGTCGATTCCGACTCATAGCAACCCTACAGGACAGAGTAGAACTGCCCCATAGGGTTTCCAAGGAGAGGCTGGTGGATTCGAACTGATGAACTTTTGGTTAGCAGCTGTGGCTCTTAACCATTGTCCCACCAGGACTCCATCCTATTGCCCTTGGGGACAATTATTAAAATCCTCAACATGAACTATAAGTAGGGTAATCATTTATCTTGGTTTTCTCAAAACAGTGTCAGTTTAGGCCTATTATCCTTGTGTAAATATTAAAAACATCGTCTTTCACTCTCAAATGCACTGGTTTAGACAAACAATTCTCATGGTCAGCCAAGCCATAAAGTCATAAAGCTCTTCCATGATTTGTGCACTCTCTGGCATCCTTTTATAGGCTCTTCACACTCCAGACATACTTATCTTTTTTTCAGTTTCTTATCCCAGAGTCATGTACTCTCTTAACTCAGAGCTTTTGCCCATGATATTCTGTCTGGGTAGCTATTCCACATGTTTTTGCCTAGACACCTCCTAGTCATCCTTATTAACAGCTTAAACATACATTCCTTATGTGGCCTTCCCTAACACCACAGAAAAATGTAGCCCTCCTGTAGGAAGCCTCTATAACAACTTGTATTTTCCCTTTATAAAACTCATTATACATCTAAAGCCTGTCTTCCCCACTAGTCTCTAAGCTCCATAGGGGAAAGGATTATGTCTGTCTTGTTCACTGCTCTATCCTCACCATCTGGCTCAGGTCCTAGCACATAGGAGCTTCCCACTGATATTTTTTTTAAGGCTTTAATAAATGGAAAGTCTACATGTATACTGAAGAAAAATTACAACTAAGACTTTAATCTCATGTTGGTACAGCTAAAAGCAATTAAAGAATAAAAAATCAAATAGTGTGTTGTATCATATTCTAAAAAAATTACTTCTTGAATCTTCAGAGACAAGGGTGGTATAATTTCCTTGTTGGCTTCAACTATATATATTATCTAATCTAATCCAATACATATTATCTAATCTAAATTTTTCCTCAAGCAAGTGAAATCATTCTTTCTGTATATATTAAAATGTCAAATTATTTTAAATAAAGAACATGGAAGATTAATCATGATACTATCCAACAACAATTGAGTTAAGAACTTTACAGGCATTATTTTATATAATCCTCATAAAAATCTCATGAGATACCATTCGAATCCTCTTTTTACAGATTGGTAAATTGAGCTGCAGTTGCTTAAGTTCACTGTATTAACGTGGTAGAGATGGAGCTCAGACCCAGGCAATGTGACTGGCCATTATACGTAATTGTCTCTCTATAAAGATTACAAAATAATCCATTAGACCCCTTTTAGCTCTAAATTTCTATGATGATTTGAAATACACAAATAGATCAATGTAAAAAAAAAAAAAAATCACTCAATCTAGACGATATCCAATAGTGTTTAGGCCCAATGATCTTTCTCAGTTTTTCCATTTAAAAACCATATTGCAAACACTTAAGATTTTCATTATACGTAAACCATATTTTAATGAATCAACTTGAAAATTTCCTGATAAAGTGGAATGTTTTTCTCTATGTTTAATTTTTTTAGGTGTAACTTACCCATGGGTCACATGAATTTAATGCATTTTTAAATCTGTTCATGCAGCCATTCTGTAATGACTGGACTCCTATTATTTCACTACTAGCAGACCACAGGAAGAGTGCAATTGCTGTTAGCATGCTTACTTCATCAGGCGTAGACACAGAATCTTCTGAAAATAAAAAGTGAAAGCAATGTACTGTTTCTAAAATGTTTTGGAATTCCAATCTTGAACAACCAGCCTTCCTCCCTCTCCTCCCCCCCGCCTCCATATTTGTAGCAGTGTGTGCCTCAATCTACTACAGTCCACAAACAATATATGAGTAGAAGTCATCTACTGCTGAGGAAACTGGGGGTTCGTTATTACAAGTCTCTGTACTTTAAGTCCTTTCTCCTTGTTTTTCTAGATAATATGATACTAATTAAAAACTTGTTTTCAGGCAAAAATCCTCACAAGAACTCTAATATGGAAAACAAAGTAAAATACAAAAAATAAAATGAAAATAAAAAATTAATTAAAAGTAATTTGACTTGTTTGGGGCATAGACCGATCAAAAATTTCAAACCTTTGTATTCCAACAAAGTTAAATGACAATAAGATACTCTAATTTATTAAAAAACCCACAGTAGATTTTGTTAGTGATATCACCTTTCTATTCAGTAAATTTGAAAACCTACAATTTCTATTAAACCGTAAGAAGATATCCTGTACAATTTCCTGAAAACAGTATTCTAACAATCTTAAAGAATTTCTTGCTATTGTAATCATTTATTTAAGAATAGATGCAACTTTAACCTAATGAAAATAAAGTATGAAATTAGTTAACTTTAAGAAATACATAAAATATGTACATTTATTCTAAAGAACCACACTACTGAACAAATAAAATAGAGACTCAAATTATTTTGTGATACCATTTCTTCAACAGCTGAACTTACGAATACTCTATATGTGAATATGGGCTAATTTGGTAACTTTAAACAGACAACAATAATCAGTACCTTATCAGGATTACAAACACATATATTTGGGTTGCTAACATTATCTCATAATGAGGGTACCAGTTATTCGTAAAATAGGATGAGCTAAGAACAATAGTCTAGAAGAAGTCCATTAAATTCTCACAAAGAAACAACCAGTTAAGAAAAAAAAGATTTAAAATTTGAAGGATGTAGCCAGTATATAATAATCTGAGTTATACATGTTAAAACCTGAGTGCTCTATAGTAGGAATATTATTCTACTATTGAATGGTGGAATGAGAACAATCTCTCACACCAGAGTTTGTGATATCACAAGCAACTTTCTAAGAAAACAATCATTTTCTTTTTAAATTATGACTTTAAGAAGATTGTGGCATCTAAATACCATTCTCCACTAAAAGGAACCAAGGTTTTTTGGAGAAGTGACTAATTCCAGAACAGAGACAGGAAAAATATAAGATGAATCCGTTATACCTTGGTGCCAGAAAGTAAGGAAGTGCTCAAGAATTATGCGGACATGTCAAAAGGACACAGGAGCCACCTTGAAAAGCTCCCAATGGCCAAATCTGGGACAATCTGAGCATCAAAACTGATGATAACAGTAATGGATCCACTGTATTAAGAAAAAGAATCATGAGTCTGTTCCGATTGTAATAAACACAAACATATAAATAAGTAATAAAGGAAAGGCAAAAAGGAAGCTCTTCCTTCCAGTAGAATCACCAGTCAGAACAAGGCCTGGGGCCGACTGCAGAAAAGACCATCAATTACTCATATGTAAGTTCAAGTTGAAGCTGAAGAAAATTAAAACAAGTCCAAGAGAGCCAAAGTACGACCTTGAGTACATCCCACCTGAATTTAGAGACCATCTCAAGAACAGATTTGACACACTGAACACTAATGACCAAAGACCAGGTAAGTTGTGGGATACCATCATGGATGTTATACATGAAGAAAGTAAAAGGTCATTAATAAGATAGGAGAGAAAGACAAGACCAAAATGGATGTCAGAAGAGAGTCTGAAACTTGCTCTTGAATGTACAGTAGTTAAAGCAAATGGAAGAAATGATGAAGTGAAAGAGTTGAACAGAAGATTTCAAACGGTGGCTCAAAAAGACAAAGTAAAGTATTATAATGAAATACGCAAAGACCAGAGGTTAGAAAACCAGAAGCGAAGAACACGCTTGGCATTTCTCAAGCTGAAAGAACTGAAGAAAAAATTCAAGCCTTGAGTTGCAATACTGAAGGATTCTATAAGCAAAATATTGGATGACACAGGAAGCATCAGAAGAAGATGGAAGGAATACATAGAGCCATTGTACCAAAAAGAATTGGTCAACCTTCAACCATCTCAGGAGGTGGTATACAATGAACAGCTGATGGTACTGAAGCAAGAAGTCCAAGCTGCACTGAAGGCACTGGCGAAAAACAAGGCTCCATAAACTGACGGAATACCAAGTGAGACGTTTCAACAAACTGATGCAACGCTGGAAGCACTCACTTGTCTATTCTAGGAAATTTGGAAGACAGCTACCTGGTCAACTGACTGGAAGAGATCCATATGTGTGCCCATTCCAAAGAAAGGTGATCCAAAACAGTGTGGAAATTATTGAACAGTATCATTAATATCACACACAAGTAAAATTTTGCTGAAGATCATTCAAAAGCGGCTGCAGCAATCCATCAAGAGGGGAACTGCCAGAAATTCAAGCTGGATTCAGAAGAGGTCGTAGAACAAGGGAAATCATTGCTGATGCTGGATGGATCCTGGCTGAAAGTAGAGAACACCAGAAAGATGTTTACCTGTGTTTTGTTGACTATGCAAAGGCACTCGGCCGTGTGGGTCATAAATTATGGATAACATTGCGAAGAATGGGAATTCCACAACACTTAATTGTGCTCATGCGGAATCTGCACATAGGCCAAGAAGCAATCATTTGAACAGAACAAAGGGATACTGTGTGGTTTAAAATCAGGAAAACTGTATGTCAGAGCTGTATCCTTTTACCATACTATTCAATCTGTATGCTGAGCAAATAATCCAAGAAGCTGGACTACAGGAAGAACACGCCATCAGGACTGGAGGAAGACTAACAACCTGCGTTATACAGATGACACAACCTTGCTTGCTTGAAGTGAAGAGGACTTGAAGCACTTACTGATGAAGATCAAAGACCACAGCCTTCAGAATGGATTATACCTCAACATAAAGAAAACAAAAATCCTCACAACTGGACCAATATGCAACATCATGATAAACAGAGAAAAGACTGAAGTTGTCAAGGATTCCATTTTATTTGGATCAACAAACCAATGCCCATGGGAGCAGCAGTCAAGAAATCAAATGCATTGCATTGGGCAAATGTGCTGCAAAAGACCTCCTTAAGGCATTAATAAGCAAAGATGTCACCTTGAGGACTAAGGTGTACCTGACCCAGGTGTGGTGTTTTCAATAGCCTCGTATGCATGCAAAAGCTGGACAATGAATAAGGAAGACCAAAGACTTGATACATTTGAATCATGGTGTTGGCGAAGAATACCGAATATACCATGGGCTGCAAGAAGAACGAACAGATCTGTCTTGGAAGAAGTACAGCCATAAAGCTCCTTAGAAAGGAGGATGGTGAGACTCTGTCTTACATACTCTGGACATGTTATCAGGAAAGACCAGTCCCTGGAGAAAGACATCATGCTTGGTAAAGTAGAAGGTCAGCCAAAAATAGGAAGACCCTCAATGAGATGGACTGACATAGTGGCTGCAACAATGGGCTTAAACATTGTGAGGATGGCGCATGACCAGGCAGTGTTTCTTTCTGTTGTACACAGGGTCGCTACTTGAGTTTGAACCTACTCAACAGCACCTAACAACAACAACAAAGTGGAAGCTCTTCCTTTCAGCAGAATGTCAGCCAAAAAAAGGGATAAAGAAATAATAAAAAATAAATGTAGATGTTAAAAAATTATCATTTGGAAACCACCATAGCAATAACTGATTCAGGCAGAAAGTGTCAATAGATGCTTAAACCACCAAATGAAGGTTTCATGGGGAACAGATAATTGAAATAGTTTCAAAGCATTGCTCTATAGATAATTTATTATTTATAAGAGAAAAAAATGGCAATTTTATAGTGAAGAAACATGGAAAACACCTGCTTCAACAAGTTATTAAAGTTCACATCCCTAATAATAGGATAAGCCGATATTACATGCCTCCTTATATGATGCTCTGAGAAAGATATAATATTGCTAATGTAGTATTCCTGCAAAAAACGCATAACTGAATCAAATCATGAGGAAAAAATCGGACAGCTTCAAATTGGGGAATATTCTACAAAATAGCTGGCTTATACTCTTCAAACACACTAATGTCATGAAAGATAAAGAAAGGCTGGGGAACTGTTCCAGATTAAAGAAGACTAAAGCAAAGTGACAACTAAATGCAATGCAGGATCCTGGACTATAAACTGGATAAGTTAAAAAAAAAAAAAAAACAACTTTGACAGTTATTATTGCAAAAACTTGTAAAATTTACATATGAACAATAATAGCATTGTATCAATGTTAAATTGCCTAAATCTGATTAATTCTTCTGTGGTAAGAGAAGGTTCTGTTCTTAGGAGATCTGTGAAGGACTTAGGGGTGAGGGGTCATGATGATTTCAATTTATTCTCAAATGGTTCAGCAAAAATAACGATAATATTAACAATAATAATATGTGGATATAGAGAGAGTGGCAAATGTGGCAAAATGCCAATAATGGGTGACTTTAGCAGAAGGGTATGCTGGAGCTCACTACAATATTCTTGCAACTTTTTTAAAGTTTGAAACTCATTTCAAAATCAAAGGTTTTAAAAATAAAAAAAAAAATTGCAGCAATCTTAAGAGTGATTCATTAACATCTGAGATTTATGCACGTGTGTGTATACACGTACATACATACAGAAACACAGTTTGTGAAAGTCGTCTTTGATTTTATAATAGGAAATATCATTTCTATAATGGAAATTCCCTTATTATAAAACTTTTCTTGTAAAGCAAGGAATTCTGCTTGCCTTGCCACACATATACTATATAAATATACCCGTGACCTTGATCCTACTTTGTAACTGACCATGTCTCCTGAGAATTAAGTTCTGGACAGAATATCTTGGGCAAGTTCATTGTCTTACTATACCTTCAACGTCATATGAACGAACCAGCGTGATAAAATATCAAAACCTTCCTTTACAATTGACAATTAAAAAATACATACGATAATTGACAATGGATCCCTCACAAAAAATTAAAACAATATTTATATTAAAAAAATTCTTAACTATTTTTTTCTCATTATTCATATGTATCTCTCTATCTATACATATATACCCTGGTTAACCAGTTGCTGTCAAGTCAATTCTGCCTCATCGTGACCCCATGTGTGTCAGAGTAGAACTGTGCTCCATAGGGTTTCAATGGCTGATTTTTCAGAAGATTGATTTTTTAGAAATGCCATGCCTTTTTTCCCAGGTATCCCTGCATGAACTCAAACCTCCAACCTTCTGGTTAACAGCCAAGTGCATTAACCATCTGTACCACCCAGGGACTTTACATATATACTCATATGTACATATATAAATATGGCATCTAATGTTTCTTTCGTTTGTTAAAATCTACTTTAAAAAGCAAAATATTCAAATATTCCCTTAACATATAAGTCATGATAAAGCTAAAATAGGTTTAGTAGCATTAATAAAACTAACTAAACCTTTTCATTCCAAATAAGTAAAATTAGAAAAAAATTCAGATTATAAAAGTATTACATGTTCATTGTTTAAAATATAAAAAAGGTATGCAGAATAAGATAAAGCTTGTAATTCTACCACTGTTTACTGTTAAGGTTTTGGTTTAATTTCTTTTGGTGTGGTTTAATCTTTATATATTTATAAATATGAATTTTAATAAATAATTCAAATGAAAATACCATTATGTACTTTATAATTTTCTCACTGCCAGACAGTTATATTTATCACACATTTTCGTTGTTGTAAGCTGCCCTCAAGTTGCTTCTCACGGTGGCCTTACGTACAACAGAACGAAAGGCTACCCAGTCTTGTGCCATCCTCATGACTGTTGGTATGTTGAGTCCATTGTCGTGGCTATTGGGCAAATAGGCTGCAAATAACCTTAAACATAATTTTTTGATGAACAAAGTCAAAGGGTATGAATTCTTAAAGGTTCCTTGTACATCCTGCAGAACTGATTCCCTGACACTTTAAACAATTTTAAACTCTCTTCAGCAAAAATATGAAAATGTTATTCTTCTGGTACCCATTCCAGCTGTGTGTGCACAGTCACATATAAAAAAATCAGTTTAACAGACAAAAATTTCTATTACTTTGTTTTCATTTGCATTTCTTGGTCTACTAATAAGGCTGAATTTTTTTATATGCTTGGTAGTCATCTCTTTTTTTTACTAACTCTTGTTCATTCCTTCTATTGGGTGTTAAAGGCTTTTCTTATAAAATCTCTTTCTATATTAACGGCATCAACTCTGACATAATGTTATTGTTAGTTTTTCAGTTGCCTTTTAATATAAGATGTTCTGACAGGTAGAAGTTAATTTCTTTATAGTCGAATAGATTGATGTTTTTTTCTGTGATCTCTTCCACTGACTTATACCTAAACGGTCCTTTACCATTCCAAAATAAAAGATTCACCTATATTTTCTTTTTCTAAAAAAAAAATGTTTTTGGTTCTTTAACATTTTCTTCATAACAGACATAAAATCTGGAATAAAAAGTCAAACAGAAGACAAATGGACAAAAAATATGAATAATCATTTCCTAAAAATGCAAACACAAACATGAAAAATTCTTAATCTCACTAGTAAAATGAAAAATGCAAATTAAAACAGTAAGATAGTACATTTTAACCAACCAGATAGTAAAATTAAAAAATCTGACAATAACAAGTGTTGGTGAGGATGTGAGGAAATAGGAATTATCACACACTGTTGGTGGGAATGTAAATTCAGACAGCTGCTTTGGAGAGCAATTTGGCAATGTTTGATAAAATTAAAATTAAAATATGTTACCAATTCCATTTCCAGGTATATACACTGAAAATGAGAGCACATGTGCATGAGGAATTTACAAGGATGTTCACTGTAGCAAAACTTGTAATTGTGAATAATTAGGGACAGCAAAAGTAGCCATTGACAGGGGAATGAATAACATATGATAAACAGATATGATGAAAAACCACACGGGAGATAAAAAGAATGAATGAGAGTTTTAAAATTCCACATTAATAGATCTGAAAAATTTATTGTTGTGTGAAACAATAAAGGTAGAATGAGATAGTATGATATCTATGCAATTTAAAAAAACACAAATAGAGCTACCATATATAGCTCATGGTTATTATTCTCCCTCTATATAGTGGAGTATGTCGGTGGTGCAACTGGTTAATGTGCTCAGCTGCTAACCAAAAGGTTGGTGGTTCAAGTCCACCCAGAGGTGCCTCAGAAGAATGGCCTGCAGATCTACTTCTGAAAAATCAGTCATTGAAAATCCTATGGAGCACAGTTCTACTCTGCCATACACGGGGTCGCCATGAGTTGGAATCAATTCAATGGCAACTTGAAAAAAAAAAAAAAGTATATATTTATTAATACATATAAGTAAATTTATTAACATATTGACATATTTATTAGTATAGAAAGTATCTCTACTAATATACGTGTGTGTGCGTGTGTTTCTGGAATGGAACACATCGAAATCAAGATTGTGGTTCCATCTGGAGATACCACAGCATGGCGAGGTACTTCAACTTTCTTTCCTATTTTATTACTTTTGTTTAAAAACAACAACAACAAAAAAAAAACACTTCAAGCAAACATAAAAATACTAACAATTTAGGGTACATTTTCTGTAAGTTTGTTTCTTCTTTTAAAAAAAATTTTGAAAATTCCCCCAACATGAATCTACCTGCTAAAAAAACACAAGGGCATTTAGAGTCAACAATCCAGAAAGGGGTACTTACGTTCATATCTGAAAAATGTGACTAAACCACCTCTGTGAATTGAGTCAATGTTATACAGCAGGTTTCTGACACCCTTAATTAACCAATTAATTAATTAATTAACAGATATCCTAACAAAAAAAATGTTTAAACTCTGATCAGGTTACCTGGCTGAGAATATTCCAGGATGCATGCAAGAGTACTGCGAATTAGAGCTGTCCATTGTTTTTGAGTTTCCTCAGTTTTGGCCATTGAAAGTGTCACAATACTTTTGATCCCTTGAAGAGCTGCACTGACTGGTGGCGGAACCTGATTATCTGCAGATTTTATTGCTGTGTCTTTCAATATTCTTGCAATTAAAAACAGAATCGTAGGCAGTACTGTCATACACCCTGAAATAAAAACAAATTAGATTGCCTCATAACTATTTCAGTTCCCATCTTACAGTTGTTTCAATTGTTTATATTTTGTAAAATTTATTGTGGTTTAATATTATTTCCTTCCCTGTTTTTTGGACAAAATTTACTGCACTACTGTTATTATAATTCAATGTTGGAAAAACAAAATAAGAAAATGGCAAGTTATTTCAAAGAAGACAATATTTTTTTCTTTTTCCAAATAGCCTTGTTTTTATTACTTCTAATATTTTATCTATTTAATATTTTATGCCCTTCATAATGAAAACGATAAAAAAAAAGATGGAGAAACAGAAGCAAAGCATTACTATATACTCTGAGAGAAGCATCTGGGTGACTTGGTGAATCATAGCAATTTTAAGACATATAATCAATCATCAGTATACCAAAACCAGCCTAGTCAAGCCAGGAAAACGACGATTACTGGAGTAAGCAAAGAGAAATGAAAGAATCCTAGAATTTGCAGCTGAAAGGATTTTAAAGTCATCAAATTCAATCTCCCACTTAATGAAGGAATCCCTTTCACCACTCTCACATGCACTCATTGTAGCCTCTTGCCTGCAAAAGTCCAATGGAGAATTCACTATTTTCACGTACGTAGAGTAACTCTTAATCAACCTGATGGCAACTAACAACAACAACAAGGTAACTCTAAGGGCTAGAAAGGTCTTCCTTGTGTTGAGCTTAAGTTTTATATCGAGTTCTACCTTCTAGATAAAATAGAGGGAAAGTCTACTTTTCTATCCAATAGTTCTTCAAGTATCTGCAGATAGCTATTATGTCTGCCTCCAATTTTTTCTTTTTTCAGTCAACAATCATTTCTTTAGGTTTTCCTTAGAGTTGGCTGTCACTCTTCTCTGATATTTTTTAGTTTGTCAATGTTTCAAGAGTGGCAACCAGACCAGCAAATAAAGGATTTAGTAATTTTACTTTTTGTCTATCTGCTAAAATCCAATGTCTTCTCCCAAGCTGTAGTTCTAGCTCTTCCCTGAAGTTTGTTTGCAATGTATCTGAAAAGAGCACCTTAGGTTTTTGGTTTTCTAAATCTTTAATCTTTTTAGGCTCCTAAAGGTAAACAAACCCTTTAAAAACCAACTTCTCATTTCACATTGAGATTTAAGAGGAAAAGAAATCTTAACAGTGCTTAAGACCAAGGCAAGCTCATCTTCGTCTACTGTAACATAATGTGTTCCCATATACTGATCAATACTGTACCAGCAGGTGAACAAAGGGATGGTAAGTCAGAGAGTATGGTAACGGCCGCTGCCACCAAACGAGCACTTTCTTCTGAGAGTCGAGTTTTAGTGGTTATGTGACTTGGAGAGTCTGACATCTTGGTACTGAGATGTGGCATATGCCGTACTAAAATAAACATCAACAGCTCCATAGTTGCAAAGACAAGAGATTTTCCAGGAATAAGACCACCGCTGTCACCTCCTTCTCCTAATACGGGACAGGGATCTTTTTCCATATCATCTTCATCTTGGGTAAAAAAAAAAAAATTGGTGAATTTATCAGCAAAAAACAATAACAAATAGTAGATAAAACAACACAGTAAGTATATTTGAGAAATCTTTCAAAAAGATTTACAAATAAATGCCTTACTGACGCCATATTTTTTTTTTGGTATAATTCTCTGCCTTGCTAGAATTCTGTGCATTGACCTTTCCTTAAAACTAATGGACAATTTATTTTTAGTTGGAAAATTTTTATTACGTATTTATACACACACACACACACACACACACCCCTTATGTATGTGCGTACGTGTCTGTACGTACATTTCATAAAAGGAATAAACATGTTATTAGGTTGAACCACATGATATTGCATGTTTGAAGGTGAAAAACAGTCAACTATTACCATTTTCATTTGGTTCATTCTAATCAGAGTAAAATCAATTTCAAATCTTCTAAATTCATTTTTTAATTAAAATATTTAAATTAAAAACCTCCTGGTATTAATATTTAAAAAAAAAAAAAAAAGGATCCATGTCAAGGTTAGTGAAATTTCTAGTGCTTACTTAGAGTGTTTCTTTTTTCTTGCAAATAATCCTGAGCAGCTCTGACTATCTGCTGTACAACTCCAGTAACCAGCAGCTGGACGGACGGTGGGTTCCAGGTCAGTAGGAGGCGGTGCAAAACACTCAGCAACTCAACACCAATCAGCTATTATAAATTAATACACAGAAATTTAATTCATTTTATTTTCAAAGGTCAAATTTGTACTATCAAAATCTGAGAAAATGCACATGCAAAAAAAATTGTTAGGTAAAACTAACATATAGAGACTGTAACAAATAAGAACAATATGACAATCTTGAGAAATGCTTGCAAAATTTTTATCCCAACTTATCTTCAGGCAACAAATGGCTTTATTTATTTACACATTTAAATAGATTTTATATTCAGACACGATCATTCTCCTATTCCTTTCCTCTACTTGGGCTAAACACTTTTGCTAGAGCCCAGTGCCATTAAAATATATAATTTCCAACCTACACTGAGTACACAAGGGTTTTCTACCAGAGATTTTAGGTATTTTTCATAAGTGCCTCTCCTATTCATCTCAGCAACATCACAAACTTTCACCATCCACATTAAGCCTCTTATTCCATCATCTTCCACATCAAGCCCTTTCAATGAACCTGCCTCAAATTTCAAAGATGGAAAAAAACTTATCTGCAACCAAAGCCGTCTTTATTTCTTTCCTTAAGATCAGGTATCCAGCCACTTACCTAAAGCTGATTAATCAGTCTTTCCTCATGTGTTCCCTATCCCATCCTACAGATTTCCACTTCCCAGGGATTCTTCAAGGACCTCAATCATATCTCATAGGTCCTCAACTTCTCTCTCTGATTAGGCTTCTTCTCCTCAGTACAAGGAAAATGATCCAGTCTTTCCTATCAAGTGTTCCCTTCTCCTCTACCCCCCCAAAAAACTTCTCAGATCCCTCTATCTACCTCTACATTCTCTGTTATCTCTGTCTTGCTCCTTCCTTTCCCAGCCCAGATGCTTCCACATCCTTCATCTTCTCATTCACTCCTCCATCTCCCACAATTTGGCTTCTACCCACCTATGAAAATGTTCTCCTTGAGGTCACTGATGATTGCCTCTGGACTCTTTTCTGTCTTTATTTACTGAATTTGTTCCTTATGACAATGTCATCTCTCTTCTTGAAATTCTTCCCTTGTCTTTTATAACTTCACTCTCTTCTGCTTCTCCTCCTACTTCTCTAGTTATCTCCACTGCTGATTTCTCTCCCATTTCTCACTCCTTAAATGCTATTTAACCCTAAGGTTCCAATCTTGGCCCTCTTTTCTTTTATTCAGTTTTCTTAATCTCATGTACTCATTATTTCTCCTGAATTATGAAAAGAGCCTCACAACTGGCCTCCTGTCTCCCTTCTCATCTCTTAAAAACTAACCTATACAAGGTTGGTAATGTGATCTTTCTGAAATAAAGTTAATCATGTCATTCCTCTATCTAAACATTGTAAATGATCCCTATATCACTTTCCATGTATGGTTCTAACTCCTTGACATGCCATAAAGAAGTCTTCATGGTTTCTGTTGTCCAGCCTCATCTCCTAACAACCCCTACATGTTCCATTCACCTCAGCCATAGTAAATGACTCCAGAGCCTTTGAACTTGTCATGTTCTCTTATGCTTCCTTTCTTTGTACTTGCTGTTCTCCCTGAGAGGAAAACCCATTCCTCTTGTGCTGCCTTGCTAATTCCTCTTTTAAGATTTGATTCAACCACCATCTCCTCTGAGAAGCCATCCTTTACTTTCCTATAATAATGTTGGTGTTCCTCCTCTCTATTCCCATTATACCCTAACATACAGTTAGCACAGCATTTACTGTACTGTACTTCTCTCCTACTCCAGGTGCAGCTTGAAACTATCTTTGATATCTATGCCTCAAACAGTGTCTGATGCAAGACAGGCATGGAATAAAAGTCGTTAGGTGAGTAAGTACAACTTACGTACTTTACTTTGTTTACTCTGACTATGTTGAAATGATAGGATTCAACTTAGAAAAAAAAAATTCCTTCTATTTTAAAGCAATACTTGAATAAATAAAGCGTTACTAAATCAAAAAAAAAGCTAGGTATATGAGATATTATGCTAAAACTAACAGAGTTTAAAACGGTAATCTATCTTCATTCATAGATTAAATTTATAGGTTTGACTATTTGAAAACAATCCTAAAGATTCTTATCGTAATTTATAATTAAGCAGTGGCACAGCTTCAGGCTGCAAGGCTGGGGTACAAGCAAGAGTCAAGCAGAAAGTGAACTTTGCAATCAAACAGCATCTGATTTGTTTTTGATTTTCTGTTTTGGTCAACATCATGTGCAAAACTAATTTTGATATAATAAGATGACAGCAACTTTGCTTTTTATCTGTTTGTTTGTGTTTTATGGAAAACTACCCCAAGTGATACCATGTAGTAGTGATAGTATCAAAAGAGTTGGTTCTTGATATGAAAATAAAGGAATTCCTAAATGAAAAAGAATAACAAATTCAATGCCTTCTTGGTTCTGTAACATGAATAAAGTCTCTAAGCACTCCCTGCAGAAATCAAAAAACTAATTCATAAGTGATTCATTAGTTGACTAGTTGAGTCAGTGCAGAAATATTTCATTTAAGAGATAAAACTTCATTAAACATTTGAAAGTGGCATAATTAATTTTAATAATTTTATAAATTACCTCAGTCCTTTATTAGTAGATATCTGGGATTGTAGGTATCCCCTAAATTTCTGGTTTTACTTGAGTGCTGATGAACGAATTAAAAAAAAGGTGTGGAGACTAACTCTAGTCTAGGCATGCCAGGTTATTCAACATTCAGTAGCAGGTCCTACATGAAGTCAAAATCCTGAATACTTATTACATAATATTGATTTTGTATGTGAGAAAATTATCTTAAGATAAATCTGATTAAAACAGAGCATACAATTAATTACAAATTATAGAAAGACATTGTACCTGATCTTCTGCAATATGGGTTCGGGCATAAGGAGAATCTAGCAAGGTGTGTAAGGCCTGTAAACACGCTGTAACATGTTCAATAGGCTCCTCAGGTCTCGGGGAACAAAGAAACTGTATACTCACACCTGCAATGTACAAAATAAAAACATGGTCTGTCAATATAAAACACTTGATATTGCTCTGACATCATTTTCTCCCGTTTTTCTTAAAGATTACTTTAACATGTATTTATTAATACCTTAGAGTTTAAAAGAGTTTCCAAATTAAGCATTCAAACTCAATATAGGTTGTAGCTTTGCAATTTGGTAAATAATCAGATTATGGGGATTTCCCCAGGTCATTCATCATTAAGATAATCAGTTTTTTATTTCTAAGACATTTTAAATACTACATTAAGGGCAAATTAATGAAAATTATAAAATAACTTCTCATTAAATGGTTGCCACCCAATTTTTCATACAGACAAAGTTTTTTAAATGGTAAGCCAGAGAGGCACAATGGATATCATGGATAACAACTGCTCTTAATTTGTTTACGGGTAAGGTCATTGTTTTGGAAGTCTTTCACATTTTCATTTATGGGATCTACTGATGATTTCTACGATTACACTTTACCAACTGTGTTCCTCCCTCCCCACATCCAGAAAATATAAGATCACAAAGAACTTTAGTAAAATGTATAAATTCTTAAGTGTTAAAAGAGTATCCACAAAGAAATTATAAATTAGGATATATTTAAATTTGTTTTAACTGCATTATTTTTTTTCAGGCAATCTGTTAAATGTCAAGTAAAAAGAAAACCTGTCATTGAGAAAATGAAAACCACGTTTAATATTTTTTCTTAAAAATTATTCAATATTCTTCTGAAAGTGAACGAGAGCCAAAATTTTTAAGAATAGTTTTTAATAATTTAATTTTTAGATAAAAATTCAGTTAATATTGAAAGTGAATGGAAAAAATCCTCCTTTTACTATTTCTCCTCTGAATTGCGCTTCAGAAAAATTTTCCATAGCATTAAAATACAAGATAGGGATTTTCAGAAGTGATGCCTCTTGAAATACAGTAACATGACACACCTACCTAAAATCAGATGCATCCTGTCTTTGTTAATTTCTGGCAAAGACTTAGCACTAGGCGTTGCTACTGATGCCTGGAAAATGACGGATGTGGAACGTTTTTGTGAACCAGATATAGCTGCTGCTTCTGTTGTCTCTGAGCATGTAAACCCTGTGCTATTTAACCAAAGTGCCACTGCATGGAGAACTGGGGCCCAGGAATTCCGGTAGTGAAGTCTAGCTGTATCAATAGTCTCAGGAGTATAAAATGCTCCACCTGGAAAACAATGAAAAAACATCACTTTCTATTTTAAGTGTTCACTCATTTATGAACAACTGCACTTAAAAATACCTGTTACATACAAAACACCAATCTGGCCAAAGAGACTCTCCTCTTTACTAGGTAAGTACACTAGAAAGCATACCTTTCTAAAAGTATACCTACCCGGCGGTGTTCCATTCTGTTGTACATAGGGTCGCTATGTGTTGGAACCAACTCGATGGCACCCAACAACAAACCTTGTCTTTGCCGCTGCTGAACTAACTGGAGTGCCTGCCTCTTCCTCACTGGTGCCAGGGTTCCAGCCTTTCCTTTGCTACTGTTCATGCCACTACCTTTTCCTTCCCTGTTGTCTCAGGAGTCATTACTTCATTTTTGCCAGCAACTCCTGGAGCCCCTATTACCTTCTCTTTCTACCATATTCAGGGACCTCTGTCTCCTTTCTTTTTTTCTCCTCTTCTGCTATTCTTTCCTATTTCCTGTTTCCAGTACCGACACTGAGGACTTCCTCATCTCTCCTCGCTGTTATGATGGATGAAGGAAGGCCAAAAGAGGAAACTCCTTTTTTTTTTGGTCAGTAACATATGGGGAGAAAAAAGAGTTTTTGTTTTTTTTTTTCCCAATAGGAGCTGATCGTACATTTTCTAAATAGGAAAAACGTTAATGATGACTTCTATAGCGATTTCCATAGGAGAAACAAACCAAAGTACAACAGTTACAAATGGACTTTAGGAACACAATTCATTGGTAGACAAGAAATATACACATTGATGAACACTGTCATTTACTTCATTATGGTTATACATAATGACTTGGTATATATTTAGAGTATCCCAGCTCATACAGCTATTCCTATAACAGTGCTAATGTTTTCCTTTGGGCTAACAAATATGCTTAATGCTGTATCCCGATTCCACAAATTCAATATGGAGAACATGGTTTATAAACAACGTCTATAAAGTCAAGTATAAGGCCACAGAAATTTAAGATGTTATCATTGGTATTATTGTTGCTAGCGTCTACCAAGTCCATTTTGTTTAATTACTACTTTGAAGTCCATAAAAGCAAAATCCTGAATGCAATACTTACCATCTGGGGGGAGCTGACTAGCAAATTCAGCTGGTAAAGTCAAAAGCGCATAGTCTTTTAATGCTGCCAACCACAGGTGACTGAGTATTGGCAGTTCAGGTTGTACAAGTGTTATTAAGCTATCTGGTGGTAGTTCATCTATGGTACCATAATCATCGTCATCATCATCAGTATTTTTAGTAGCTCTTTTTGGTTTTGACTCAGCTTCCTTTTTAATATTCATAGCAACTACATATACCTAATAAGATATTCAGGAGGAGAAAATGGCAGGGCATAAGATAAAAAATGAGACATTCTACATTGCTATAATTATACAGTGTCATCATAAAAAAAGTAATTGATTATAAATACTAGAAATTACACAAGTTTATGCTTTTCTGATAACCACAAAAGAATAATTCCACCTGCCTTGGAGAAAACCTTTTTTATTGATGTGACTTCTGACTTTTCTTCTCACAGCATATTCCTTGAGTAGGCATCTCTGATTTTTTTCTGGCTTCTCTTGTTCTGCTTTACAAAGGCCCCTTTTGTATATTTTGTTTTTACCATAGGGTATAACTTCCTGTTTACTGCCCCCACTTTCCTAGATTTATTAGACACAGTCAGATAGCATTCAAAGAAAAAGGCTGAGGGGTGGAGGTGGCCTGAGAAAAAATTTCCATAAATATCCTCCTAAACCTTCATTTTATATAGTTCTTAAAAGATATCTAGCAATCTAGAATTTACAACAAATACCAGAACCAAGAAAATTACTTGCTGGTCACATATATTACCTATCTTTTCTCCCTAGTTTGAGAACCACAAAGATGTATAAGAGTAACTTTCCTAAAACATAACTTTAAAGATTCTTCTTTGGTGAGTCACCTTTTGATTTCTTTCGTCTCTGTACATACATTTATGCTCTGGCAACAGGCACATACAAAGCTGAATAACAGATCAATGATAAAACGGGAAAAAAAGGGAGAAAGAGAATAAATTGCAGTAGATAAAAGTCTTGAGAAAACTGTTTTCCCTCTACACAGTGTTATTTTCACTGTAGCTAATGAGGTAGTCTATGTATCTATACAGTACACTGGAAGTTTCTTGGTGATAGGACTTGTCCTATCTCTGTTCCTACACTGAGCATACTGATATAACACAGAGAAGGCATACAATAATTGACTAAGTTCTAGACAACAATAATAGGTGACTTCATGAATCTTCATTTGTAAGTAAAAATATTCTTTAACACTATGATGGTTTGTAATAGTTATACTGACACCCAAAAATCCAGAAATATTAATAGAAACCAATTAATTTTTGCAGTAGACACTTTGAATCTCAAGCTACAAATATATCCCATTCATATTTCCTAGTGGTTTTAAGTTTGATATTTTTCTATATTTGTTATTATGCTGACATTTTAAGAAAATATTTCAATAAGCACTATGAATATAATCAGCCATTGTACTTATCAAAGCCTTACTAGGAACCTATCTTTACCTTGCACTTGCTATTATGATAGGATCTGAGGAAACAAAGATGAATACTTCATGGATTTTGCCTTCCCTGAACTCACAAACTAGTTTAATGATGGGGGAGTGGGAAAGAGCTAAGAAAAGAATTTTTAAAAAATTTCCTTTAAATGATCTGTCTTCTCTACTACATTCCACCCAATGCCTAGGCACTCCAGGCCTTGTGAAATAAATGAACGAATATCAAGCAGCACCAAAGGTAAAAGGGTCTTAACCTTGGAAGAATGAGACAGGCAAGACAGTTTTCAAGAACAAAATGTTCACCTGCTCAGGGACAAAAGAGATGAAGAGGGGATTCCAGGCAGAGAGGCTATCAAGAGCAAGAGCACAAAAATAGGAAAGAGCATGGCATTCTGAGGAAACTGCAAGTTTTTGGTATAGAGTGAGCACAGGGTATAAAGTGAAAGTAGTTGAAGATAAAGCTAAAAGGTAGACACGGATGAGATTATGAGGGACCTTAATGCCTAGTGAAATAGTTAGAATTTTACTCTACAGACAACGGGGAAGGGGAGAGTGCTCACTGCAGGATTTTAAAGTCAGATATGTATATACATACATGTATATACATACATACATATTTTCCCTCAACTTTTAACTTTATTTTAATAGTTACATCATAAAAAGTTTGGAAAATAAAAAGTTTTTACATCATTCATAATCCCTATTTCCAGGTTTTCATATTCCGTCATTGTAAGTTGTATTTCTGCTGTACAGAGAATTTTATATTTAATTTTATCCACTTAACGTATCATAAGGGTTTCTCATGTGAATACTTGTCTTCATAACCATTATTCTTAATGGCTGAAGTGGATGATCCATAATACATCTAACAATTTCCCTACAGATGAAATTTTATATTTACATCTGAATCTTTACCTAGCCTTGGGAATCTGAGAAAGATGAAACACAGTTTTCAAAGAAAAAGGTGTTTACTTTGTCATATTATAAATAAGGTTGCAAGTAAACATTTTTGTTCACTTTTCCATATTTTGGATATTTTTCCCTAGGATAAAGTCCCAGAAATGGAATTACTGGGTCAGGATTTTAATATTCTTATGGTTCTGAATAGATACTGCCGAATGGTTTCTAAGACAGTTCTCTATTTTACATTGCTACCTATAAAATATGAGAATATATTTTTAGACTTTTTTTATATTATATTAGATTTATCTCTTATTAAATATTATCCAAGAACAATTTAAGTTCTCTATAGAAAAATAAGAAGCAAATAAAAATGAAAAAAATAAAAACCACACATAATCCTACCACTCAGATGTATTACTGTTAACATTCTAGATATGTTGTATATGTACATGCAGTCTTTTAAACAATAATGCGTGTGTGTGTACAGTTTTTAACTCGATATTCTATTCGCTTAACATATTACCATCATCTTTCAGGATTAAGAAGTACACTTAGTAGGTCATTTCCACTTTTTTTTTTTAGAAAAATAAAAATCACAATAAACATCCTTCTAATAGAATCTTTGTGCATATCCTTAAACATTCCTTAAGATAAATTGGTCAACAAATGTGCAGTTTAAAAAGTGTTTTGATACGTACCATATTTAGAAAAGTTTTACTAATGTCAACATCTTAAAAATCATGTTAACTGGAGAATGTTTTTTATATTTCTTTTTTCCCCATATGTGTATGCGTAGCTTTGTTTCCTCTTTGTGAATTATTCATTCATATTTTTTGTCCAAGATTTGTATTTCAGGATGATTATTCTGAAAATCTTTAAAGGAATAGATGGGGACAGAAAGACTGACAGTGGGGACACAAATGAGGATACAGTTGCATAGACTATGTGATGGATGATGAAAACTTGAGCTAAGGCAGCAGGAAAAGAGGAGGCATTTATGTACAGATATAAAAAAGGTAACTGTGATCTACTGATAAGTTAAAAAAAGGTTGCTAGGCTGAAGATTCCATTTTTATTTTCAGAATAAAGAGGTATATACACACCTATCATGTAGGCATATAAAGAGACTTATATGTGTACCTATGCATAGTGATATACACCAAAATATTAACAATACTTATCTCTATTGTTATACTAGATAAGATTATAGAGGAGCTTTATTTTCTTTTTTACAATTTTTCTCTATATTCTGGATTTGTACAGTGAGCATAGATATTTTATTATCAGAACAAAATTATGTTACTTTCAAAGATACGAATAAAGTGAAACAGGAATTAATTACTTACTAGACATAAGATGAGGGGGTTTGAACAAGAGGAACTAGTTAGGCCTGATATCCAGGTTCTGGTCTGAAGAAAACTCTATGGAGCAGTTCTACTCTGTACACATGGGGTTGCCACGAATCAGAATCAACTCAATGACAACTAATAGTAACAACAGCATGGGAAAAAAAAAAAAGTCCAGGGAAAAATAACCTGCAATACTTAAAAATGTCCATGGGAAGGTGAGAAGGGAGAGATTAATTCTAGCCAGAGAAATGGAAAGTTTTAGGTACTAGGTGTTTGTGTAGGACTATTAGTTAGGGTAAGGGGAAAAAAGAGGAAGGAAAATACAGACTCTTATTTTCGACATGCTGGGTGTGAGGTACCTATGTGTCATCCAAGTGGAGATATCTAACAAACAGCTGAAAATATGAGACTGGAATTTAGGAGAGAGGTCTGAGTAGTAAAAGCTATACTCACGCGTGTGGATGAAGCTGCCCCATAAAGGTATGAAGAATGAGAAAACAGACAAGAAAAAAGACCAAAATGTAAACAGTAAGCAGACAAAGCGAAGCGAGCAAGTGATACTGAGACTGAACAATCGAAAGGAATAAAGAAAGGAGTGTCACAGAAGTCAATGAACACAAAGAGTTTCTAGGAGGTTTTTAGAAAGGCCAAATAAGACAGGGATTGAAAAGGATCAATGATTTGGATAGTTATGTTATTAGTGGCTTTACTAGAGTAGTTTAAATGAGGTGGCGAATATAAACCTAGATTGTAGGGAGGGTTGAGAAGTGAGTGAATAGCTGAGGAAGTGAATATAATGAAACTCCTTTGATAAGCCTAGATGTGACGGGAAGAAAGAAAAAGCAGTAAGCAGAAGGGGATGAGTCAGGGAAGAATGTAGATAAGGAGAAAGAGTATGGAGGGAGAGGGAGAGGCTGAAGATATGGAAAGGGGGATAACTGATATAGCACTGAGCCTGGAACAGTCTCCTCCTCACCCTCATGCCTGGCTCATGTCTGCTCTCATCCTCCAGATCTCAACTTACATGTCACTTTCTCCATGAAGTCTACTCTGAGCCCCTCAGGCTATTCTGGGTACCTCTGCTGTGTGTTCCACAATGCTCTGTGTTTTGTCTATGATAGGATTCATTACATTTTGTTTTACTTGTTTAACAGTCTGTCTTCCCCAGTGATAACAGTAGTAAATGTAATACAACTGTCTTGTTCACCATTATATTCTCAACTGCAGCCTGGCACAGTTGATGTTCAATAACATTTTATTGAATGAATCAGAAAGTAGGAGGTAAGGGAATAAGAAAAGTTAGTTCTAGGTTTGAGGAGGACCTTAAAATAATAGTAATTATATTAATAACAACACGTAACACTCATTGTGCACGTGTAATATGGTAGGTACTGTACAAAGTCCTTCACGTTGATTATATCATTTATACCATAAACCTTTGAAATGTGTACAATTATTATCCACACTTGAAAGTTAAAGAAATATACTTAAAGAGGCAATTAACAACTTGC